GATATGGGGATGGGAGGGGGTTACCAAGCGGTCAGGTCACTGGGTAGTGGGGCTATGGGACTGGGGGGTTACTCTTAAGGGGGCTACCGGGATGGGGGAGTTACTTTTAAGAGGGTTACCGGGCTGGGGGGGTTACTCTTAAGGGGGTTACCGGGCTGAGGGGTTACCGTTAGGGGTTACCTGGTGCTCAGCAGGGAGGTGACGGTGCCGTAACCCCCCGCTGTCCCCCCTTCCCACCGCAGTCTCTAACGAGGTGCCCGAGCACCCCTGTGTCTCCCCGGTCTCTAACCACGTCTACGAGCGGCGGCTGATCGAGAAGTACATCGCTGAGAATGGCACCGACCCCGTCAACAACCAGCCCCTCTCTGAGGAGCAGCTCATCGACATCAAAGGTGGTGGGGATGGGACAAGGGGGGTTGGGGTGGTTCTCCCCAGGGGAGAGATGGTCACTGTGGTCAGTTTTGGGGGAGCTGTGAGGCCCCCCCAGGGCAGTGGCACCCCGAGAATGGGTTTCCTGAGGGAAATCCATGATGTTCTCCTGAGAGGAGTTCTTCAAGGTTTGGTGTTGGGACCAGCATCTTTGTTGGTGACATGGATGGTGCCATCCCAAGGGATCTGGACGGGCTTGAGTGGTGAACCTCATGGGGTTCAACAAGGTGTAAGGTCCTACATGTGGGTCAGGACAATCCCAAGTACAAATCCAGGCTGGGAGATGAAGGGATGGAGAGCAGCCCTGAAGAGAAGAACTTGGGGGGTGTTGGTGGGTGAGAAGCTCATCCTGGGCATCCTGTGTCATCCTGGGCTGCATCCCCAGCAGTGTGGCCAGCAGGGTGGGGGGGGGGGGATTCTGCCCCTCTGCTCCACTCTGGGGCCACCAGCATCAGAAGGACATGGAGCTGTTGGAACAGGTCCAGCGAAGGCCATGGAGATGCTGGGAGGGCTGGAGCCCCTCTGCTGGGAGGGGGGGCTGAGAGAGTTGGGGGGGTTCAGCCTGGAGAAGAGAAGGCTCCGGGGAGACCTTCCAGCCCCTTCCAGTCCCTCAAGGGGCTCCAGGAGAGAAGGGGAGGGACTCTGGATGAGGGAGGGGAGCCCTAGGAGGAGGGGGAAGGGTTTGACGCTGACAGAGGGGAGATGGAGCTGAGATGTGGGGAAGAACTTGTTTGGTGTGAGGGTGGTGAGAGCCTGGCCCAGGTTGCTGCGAGAAGCTGTGGCTGCCCCATCCCTGGAGGGGTTCAAGGTTGGGTTGGAGGGGGCTTGGAGCAACCTGGTCTGGTGGGAGGTGTCCCCTTGTTATGGAACTGGATGATCTTCAAGATCCTTTCCAACCCATTATATGGTTCTATGATAAATCCACGAAGCTCTCCTTGGTAGCTAGAGGAGGGGAACCATCAGCCTGCTGGGGTCAGAAAGCTGAGCTGCAGGGGTCAGGTTGTTGGGGGGGGTGTGTGAAGGTGTTGGTGTGACTATCTGAAGGGATCCACGGGGGTGTTGAGGACACGGTTGATATGTTCATCCTCTCTCATTGACAGTTGCCCACCCCATCCGTCCCAAACCTCCTTCTGCCACGAGCATCCCAGCCATCCTGAAGGCTCTGCAGGATGAGTGGGTGAGTACTGGGTTGTGACTGGGAAAGGGAGCAGGTTACTGGGACCTTCCTGACTCTTCCTCCTCCCACTAGGATGCCGTCATGCTGCACAGCTTCACCCTCCGCCAGCAGCTCCAGACCACCCGCCAGGAGCTGTCCCATGCCCTCTACCAGCACGATGCCGCCTGCCGTGTCATCGCTCGCCTCACCAAGGAGGTCACTGCTGCCAGAGAAGGTGACTTTTGGGGTGACATGGGTCTCATGAGGCTGTGGGTCTCAGGGAGAGGGAGCTGGGGAGGAGCCAGCAGTGGGTGGACCAGCAGCAAGCGGTCTCGGTGGCGATCGTTGTCCTGGATGTCATCTTCTCTCCCCTTCAACACATTTTAAACTCAAATCCTTTCTCTGCCACCGCAGCTCTGGCCACTCTGAAGCCACAGGCCGGTCTCATCGTGCCCCAGACGGTGCCATCTGCTCAGCCAAACGTGGCGGTGAGTCCCTGCAGCCCCTCTGGGTGTCAATCTCCACTCATCTCCCCTCCCTTCCCTTTCTGGGTGTAACCAGCCCCTTTTCTCCTTCCCCCGCAGGGAGCTGGGGAGTCCATGGATCTGGGAGAGCTTGCGGGCATGACCCCCGAGATCATCCAGAAGGTAAGAGATCTTCCATTTGACGCTGCTCCAACCTTCAGTGGTGGCTTTTCTCCAGCCGTGACCGCCCTTCTCTTCTTCTTCAGCTTCAAGACAAGGCCACGGTGCTCACCACGGAGCGGAAGAAGGTCAGTGGCCCCGTTCTGCTCCCAAGATGCCACAACAACCGGGACGTGCAATGTCCTGAGAGGCTGATGTTCATCTCCACGTCGTTTTCCTTTTGCAGAGAGGAAAGACTGTTCCAGAGGAGCTGGTGAAGCCAGAGGAACTCAGCAAATACCGGCAGGTTGCCTCGCACGTGGTGAGTGCTGTGATGAACTTCTCCCTCGTGCAGCTTCACACCATCAATAGGTGACAAATCTGCTAGGAAGAGGGTTGTGACACTCTGTGCCACGGCCACCGGGGACTTGAGCTGGGTTAGATGTGGCCCAGGCTCCCCCCGATGGAATGAAACACCTCGGGGCTCCCTCAAGAGCTTTTCACTGAATTTCACTGAATTTTAGAGTTGGAAGGGACCATAGAGATCATCTAGTCCCACTCCCCTGCTGAAGCAGGATTGCCTAGAGCTAGAGCATGTTACTCAGGAGCATCCAGGCGGGTCTTGAAGATCTCTAAAGAAGGGGACTCCACACCCTCCCTGGGCAGCCTGTTCCAGGGCTCTGGCACCCTCACCGTGAAGAAGTTTCTCCTCATATTTGAGTGGAACCTCTTCTGTTCCAACTTGTGCCCGTTGCCCCTCGTCCTCTCAGTGGGAACCACTGAAAAGAGTCTGGCTCCCTCCTCCTCCAACCCTCCCTTGAGATACTTGTAGGCATCGAGAAGGTCTCCCCTCAGCCTTCTCTTCTCCAGGCTAAAGAGTCCCAGCTCTCTCAGTCTCTCCTCATAAGGGAGATGCTCCAATCCTTGAATCATCTCATCATTTTCATTTCCATTTTGGGGGTGTTTCCTCGCTTCTGGTGTTAATCTGGTGACCTCCCACCTCACACAGGGGCTGCACAGTGCCAGCATCCCAGGGATCCTCGCCTTGGACCTCTGTCCTTCCGACACCAACAAGATCCTCACCGGTAAGGGAGCCTCCTCCAATTACTGGGGACTCTGGTATCAGCTAAAAAACCTGTGGTTGCCCCAGAGTGGGTCCCTTTCTCTCTGTTTTTGGGGCGACAATGGGCGTGAGGGATCCTCTCACCTCCTGGCAAAGCTTCCTCATCCTCAGGATGGTGGTCTCCAGAAAAGGTGGATGGGTTGGGCTTGGTTGGCCACAGATCCCTTCTCTCACCCCTCCCCGCTTTGTTTTTCCAGGTGGGGCTGATAAAAATGTCATTGTCTTTGACAAGAGCTCTGAGCAGATCCTGGCCACGCTCAAGGGACACACCAAGAAGGTCACCAGTGTCGTCTTCCACCCCTCTCAGGTGCGCTCAGGCCCACCTTTGGCCTCTTCCCTCCCAGCCAGGTTGCCCCAGATGGGATTTTCTGGACCCTCTTCTGGTGATGGACTAGTTCTTACCCGTTGGGAGCTCTCTGAGATGGAGAGGTGACTTTTTTTAATGGTTACCTTTCCTCCTTTGTGTAGGATTTGGTGTTCTCAGCTTCTCCTGATGCCACCATCCGGATCTGGTCCGTGCCCAACGCCTCGTGCGTGCAGGTGGTGCGTGCCCACGAGGGCTCCGTGACGGGGCTGAGCCTCCACGCCACGGGGGATTACCTCCTCAGCTCTTCTGATGACCAGGTGAGACCCTTCCCTGCCCCACAGGACACCCCCCCAACCTTAACCCCCAGCTTTTCTTTGTGCTCAACACCTTCTTCTTCTCTTCCAGTACTGGGCTTTCTCCGATATCCAGACAGGCCGTGTCCTCACCAAGGTGACAGATGAGAGCTCTGGCTGTGGTAAGGTTTAAATCTGAGGGGAGGGGGCTGTGGAGAAGGGGTTTTTTTCCCCCCTGAAGATCACAAGAACTTGTTTTGGGGGCATCAGAAAGTCTCCCTGACCCTCTGAATCTCCTACTGTGTCTCCTCAGCTCTCACTTGCGCCCAGTTCCACCCGGACGGGCTCATTTTTGGAACAGGGACGATGGATTCTCAGATCAAGATTTGGGATCTGAAGGTAGGGATGATCCTGGGAGGGGTTGAGGTGGGAATTATGGTGGGAATGAGTTGGGTTTGGTGTTCAATCCGAGGCGCTGCCCGTTTTCTGCTGGAATGGGGTTTTAGGTAATCTCTGGAGGTTTTTTTTTGGTTTTTTCCTCCAAAAATACATCCTGTCTTTAACTGCTTTGATCCCCAGGAACGTACCAACGTGGCCAACTTCCCAGGACACTCTGGCCCCATCACCAGCATTGCCTTCTCCGAGAATGGCTACTACCTGGCCACGGCGGCCGACGACTCCTCTGTCAAACTCTGGGATTTACGTAAACTCAAGAATTTCAAGACTCTGCAGCTGGATAACAACTTCGAGGTGTGTGTCACTCTCCCTTTTTTCCCCCTCTCCTCCCCTTTCCTCCCTCTCCTCTCCATCTCTCTCTATGCCCACCTTCCCCACTGCTCTCCTCCTCTTTTGGGGGGGCCTGATGCAAAGGTGTTGCCCCCCCAAGAGCTTCCTGAGCTTGTTTTGAAGCTTTTTTTCCCTTTTTTCCTCCACAGGTGAAGTCTCTCATCTTTGACCAGAGCGGGACCTACTTGGCTCTGGGTGGGACCGACGTCCAGATCTACATCTGCAAGCAGTGGACAGAAATCCTCCACTTCACAGGTGAGGAACTGCGGGGCAGGGAAGGGTGAAGACCGGCGGTGGTAGCCGGCGTTTAATTGTGCTTGATGATGTTAACCCTGGGGTTGTTTTCCCTCCCCCAGAGCACAGTGGTCTCACCACCGGAGTGGCCTTTGGCCACCACGCCAAGTTCATTGCCTCAACG